CTGTCTTATTTACCATTATATTTTGATGGCTTGACTTCACGATCAAAGATCTACGAATAAGTTTGTTATCGTCCGTTGCAGGTTGCTGATCAATGCAAAGTCAAGTAGATCTGTTCAGAACGGCTGCAAAGGAAGGTTGTTGCTATGATAACACGGTTGACATGTTTTGTTTTTTTTTTCAATTTTGCCCATCAACTCAGCCCGGTCTTTATTCCCAAAGGAACAGGCAGTTCGATGGACAGTAAGTCTCCACGGGATCCTGATTGCAGTTAGGTCTGATGATGGTAGACGATAAAAGTACCGAGTGTCATTTTTCAAGTCATTTTCATCTATTTTTTCGGGAGTGGTCTACTGTCACGGTGGTCAGTGAAAAGTTCACCATAAAGCACATATCCATTTATATATTATATATATATATATATATATATATATATATATATATATATATATATATATGTATGTTATTCGGGACAGAAAATAGACATATTTAAATAATTATTGCAATTTACGTACAGGTTTTATGAAAAATATGTTGGTAGATGCCATTTCCAAAACAAGAAAAACATTTCCAAAACAAGAATCGGTCACTTCAATGTGATGTAATGCTTAGCAAGCTTGTCTCGATAGACTAATTACGACTAAATAATGAATTCTATCCTCGCTGCTTGCTTCATACGTGCAGCCTTTTACCACATCCAAGCTATAAAAACAGAACCAGGCACTACGACGTTGGGCAAAGTTTAGGAAGCTTGTTTCACTAGATCCATTACGACTGAGTAGCGAGTTCGATCCTCAGTGTGCTTCATACTTACGACCTTTTGCTACATCTAAGCTACGCGTGGTAAATCGTTATAAAAACCCGAACTATCTACTTCGACGTAATGTAATAATTAATAAGTCTGTCTCGCTTGATCCTTTATGAGTGAAAAGTGAGTTCGATCCTCATTGGGTGCTACATGCTTGTGCTATCTATAAAAGGCAGGATGTGTGTATGAATGTGTAACGAATGCACGGCCGCAATTTTCGACGGATTTGTACAATAATTTACATGCACATGCTCCAAGTTAGCGGGAAGGCTAATACCGACTTTGCATTTCCCAACTCCCATCGATAGTGAAAATAATCGATATTTTCATGCTTCTACGGCAGTTTTCCTGTAGTTTGTGGCCATTTTCTACTGGCCAGAGTGAGAGCCTATAGCTGGCTGCCACGAATAGGCAGGAAGATTCTATTGGCCAGCGTAAGAGCCAACAGCTGACTGACACGAATGTTAACTAGCATGCTAGTATGCAAAAAAAAAATCAATAACTGCATTCGTCACAAGTGGGAAAAATTTAAATCTGCATGGCACTTTACTCCAATTGGCTCATTCGCTTGATTAAACTCAATGTTGATTCTGATACCGTAGAAATGGGTTGGGCGTGAAAAAGTATTTGTTGTTAACAATCTTTTTTCATTCGGTTTTTCCAGTTACGAGTCCTTTTTTAAAAGCTGGTCGTTTTGTGTTCATTTTGTTTAGTTCTTTATTCGTAACAGATTTAATGTTTAGTATAGAGCTTAGAAAAAATTCGCAGTGTGGGATAAAGGCAAGAAGTAAGGCATGTAGCAACATCAGCACGGCAATGGGCACTCCTTTAAAGGCAAAGAAGGGCAAAAATATTTTAAGTCAAGTGATAGCGATTGCTGTATGAGTCGTACGATTTTTGATCAAGCACGGGCAACGCCGGGCCATGCTGTTAGTATGTAATAATAAAACCAGAATTTTCGGGGTTTTGGGGGTTTTTTTTACAATTATTATCATCTTATGTATCTCCTTCAAACGAGACCAGTTTAAAAGGGAAAAGGTTGAAGTAGTTTGAGCAAATTTTGACTCTTGGCACATTTACCGCTAACCCCACTATAAATCAAATTTTGTACGAAGTAGGTGTACAAATAAGTAGAAAACACGCATTTTTGCAGATTTTACAATAATTAATGGAAACCCAGTCCCTGTTGAAGCGTCCGCCTAAGCAATAATTCTCCCTCGGGAGGTGTCTATGTTTATTACTTAGCGCCTAAGGCATCCCCAAAAGGCAAGAGCCAAGGGGACTGAAGCATTTATCTCCCTATCCCAATGTACGGGTGGGTTCACTCGGCCTAGTGTCACATTCCGTTCGAATAGGCATGCGGATAAATCCCTTAAAATCACATTTATTTGTTGTCACTGGTTTACGTAATATTGGTATACACGCACACAGAGAGTGATACAAACGCACACACAGAGAAATATACACGTATAGACACACACGCAAACACAGAGAGATACACAGAAACACAGGCAACAAATTTACGTGATGGAACTGAATCGTTCACCAAGAACTGATTAAATGTTTATTTGCTCAGACTTGGGCAAGTGCGTGGGTATGAGCACTTATCAGCTCCTCCTCTAATATAGATTTAATTTCGAGTGAACACACACAGAAACTTTGAGCTTTATATATTGGATATACCTATGGATTTATAAACATATATATATGTATGCATACCTGTGCGTATATACTAATAGAAACTGTGTGTATGTGTGTGCGTGTGTGTAAAATGCTAGCGTTGGGATGTGAATGAGCATTTATTACTGTTTTACCGATATTCTCTCTCACACACACACACACACACACACACACACACACACACACACACACACACACACACACATATATATATATATATATATATATATATATATGTAATTACTTCAAACATTATTTTTTATGGATACCCATAAACCGTATTTAATTTTGTCTACAGGCCGGAATATTCGAGAAATCTTATTAAAGAAAATTCGTCCTCCGGTAGGATCCAAACCTACGTCCCCTTTTGCAAGAGTAACCGTCATTTGCTCCAACCTCCTTTGTGAAAGATGTTTGTGTGAGTAATTTCTTTCAGAAATAGTAAATACGCGAACTGCACAATCCTTTCTAAGTATATTTGGGAAATTTAAAACAAAACGAAAATCACACCAAAAATAACTTGCAAACTTTGCTTGGAGGAAAAAATAGCTATCATTACCTTCCCAGACCAAAATAAATTATTAAATAAACGATCCGAGCTCATCTCAAAATGCAGACATGAAAAAAAATTTTTACTACCTTGTGTGACAATAAAATAAGTAAAATAAATTAATCCTAACAAATTACGAAATCACACCCGTTAGCATAGACGAAATAGAATAAATAAATAAAAAAAATCAATGAACCCAAATAAATAAAGTAAATAATAAACAAATTAACAAACCAATATAACCAAAATATTAGTTAAACTATAAAAATCAAACCAAAAATCGGACGAAAAATATAGCTATAACTGTTATATAACTATAAAAAAATACTACGTTACTTAAAAATCGAAAACCGAAAAGAGTAAATAAAAATATACAGTATAATAAATGAATAATAAAAAACAAGTAAAATAAATAAATCTAAATTAATCCAAATAAATAAACAAACTAACAAACCGCTCCCGATAAATTAACCGTAAAAAAAAACAAGTAAAGATAATCAATCCAAATAAATAAATGAAGTAATAAACAAATTAAAAACTGCTCCCGCCAAAATAATAGTTAGAATAAACTACAGTACTCAACCCTAAAATTGAATAAATAGCTTTAATTATCTTCCCAAACCAAAATTATTAAATAAGCGATATAAATAAATTTTTACTACGCTAATAAAGCACCAATAAAAATTAAAAAAATATATAAGATAAGAAATAAAAATAAAAAATAAAAATAAAAAGTAAAGATAAAATAAAAAATAAATAAAAACAAGCAAAATAAATTAACCAAAATAAATAAACAAATAAACGACTTCCGGCAAAATAACCACCAAAAAAGACTGCCCACAATGCATCACTGAACTGTATACATAAATAGCCGAGAAAAAAAAATAACACCCGGGGCCTGGGGATTGCGTCTAGCATCAAAACATCCTATCGCCTGTAAGTATTGACTTCAATGTTCCCTTTTACATACGTTCTATCTCTGATACTGAGCACGTTATCCCAGAAATATAGCACACCTTAAGACTATATTTCTTCATATATATATATATATATATATATATATATATATATATATATATATTGGCATGGATTTTTCATTTATTAAGCCGACATATTTATTTATTTAATTTATTTGTTTAAAGGTTTTTATTTTTAATGGATATTCGTATTTGAGTATATCGTCTGGTTTTAATCATTTATTAAACTATTTCCATTAATTATTTCCCACTACCGGCCTGAATATTTGGAGGGCCTACATGCGCGTTTGGGAGTTGATAAATAAATAAAAACAGAGCCTCTTGTCAAATACGAGTATTCATTTAAAATAACGTTTAAACAGATAAATTACACGCACACATGCACACACACACACACACACACACACACAAATATATATATATATATATATATATATATATATATATATATATATATATATTAAAGTAGATAAGGCTTTCGTGTGAAAGTGTTTCTTCCTTTAGAATTCATTGGGAAAATTTCGTTACGAAACGCGTCACACGAAAACTTTTTTCCACTTTGTCATACACCATTCGTCCAAACTGTTTTTTTGATATATAAATTTTATATATCCTTATCCCATATATATATATATATATATATATATATATATATATATATATATATATATATATATATATATATATCTTCATATATCTTACATCCCTATCTTTCTTACTTTGTAATATGTTAAATACACACATATATATATATTTAATCTTAAACATGTATATGTAATCTGCTATATTCACAAATACATATATTGATATCATATATTTATATATACATCACATATATACATTCTCATATTATATATATACATATATTCTTACATATATACAGAAATCGTATATATATATATATATATATATATATATATATATATATATATATATATATATTTTTCCATTTTATCGAGAATGCAATATCCTATATGAATTTGACTAATGTATACCCACCCCATTATCACAGACCAGAAAAACTTTGACCCTGCTAAATTCCTGTTCCCAAGTAGTCGCACGGAACAACGACAAAAGCAAGGTGCCACGTGTCACCAAGTGGAAAATTTCAATTTCATATCACCTAATTTTCGGAGTGCTGCTAAAACATTCCTCGTCACGTGGTTGGCTAGGAAGATTCTCCGGAACGTTGAGAGGTCAAGTGAGTGCGGTGTTGGGAGAGGCCATTCGACGGTAAGTGTCAGCTGGCTACCGGCAGATGGCTGACCAGATTTCATTATTAAAATGACTTCTCCTCTCTGTTGACGGCTGCAACCACCATCATTACTCTCCCGTCGATATTGCGAATTCGAGAAAGATATTTCGTCCAATATTTCCCCGCATTTGCAACGGACAATTTCATTCTGTCGGATCTGTCCGCCTGTATATTGGTCTTATAATATTCACTTCTGTCTGTTTATCTATCTGATTATCGACGTTCGCCTTTCCTGTATAATTCGATCACTACGTTTGCATATTCATATCTATCTATCTATCTATCTATCTATCTATCTATCTATCTATGTCAATCTCATCATATTCATCTCTCTAGCGGCTCGTAATGCAAAATCGAAGAGCCGACTTCGGATTCCAGTCGGGTTCGTTACATTACAATGAATCCATCTGACCCCCAGTTATGGGTTAAATAATAGAAATTGTTATTCTCAAGAAATTTTTAGTGCAATATTCACATTCAAAAAAGACATTTATTCTTACAAAAGCAGAAAGTTATACTGATACCTTTGTTTTTCGTTTTTTTTTTTTTTACTATTTTTCACCCAGGTTCACTCAAGGTAAATGGTTACTGAGTGGGGCTGTTATAAGGGAGGAGGAAGCAGAAAGTGCATATTATTATGATTTGTTAGATAGGTAACGGTTGACCCAAAACTTGTCACGTCTTGCCTTTTAGTGATACAGTGTAACCCGGATATAAGAGATCTGGATATAAGAGAAACCCGGATATAAGAGAGATTTTCTCTAGTCCCAAATTAGAGCCTGTGTTATTGTATATAAATTAGACCAAACCCGGATATAAGAGAAACCCGGATATAAGAGACTTCTTCTCCGGTCCCGACAACTCTTTTATATCCGGGTTACACTGCATTTTCGCTTTCACTGGCAGTATCACCTGCCTTTGTCCGGGTCCTTCATTACTGGGAAATTTTGACGTTCATTTGGAGCAGTTTAAGTTTAAAGTCTGCCCAACCGAAAATGGCGGTGGGTAGCAATTTGAATTGGGAGTGAAATTAAGGGAAAAAGATTGGGTAAAAAGGGATTAAGGAAAAGATAAATAGAAGAACGGAGGATAAAAAGAACAGCTGGAAATATCTTAATAGAAAACGGTTTTCTATTATCAAAATGGTTTAATTCTTTTTTATACTATTAGGTTGGTGCAAAAATAATGACGTAATAATGTCATTTTTGATGTATTTTTTAACATCAAAAACGACATTATTACGTCATTATTTTTGCACCAACCTAATATAAAGGATTTATTTCCCTTCTCAGATTGAAAAGAAGATAAGCAGACTAGGTTCCTACCTTTATAGAACTGGTTCCTGGAAAATTTGGGATTGGCTGTGTCACTGTAGGCGTTAACGAACATGGCTCCCCACAATTGGGTATGTTCTGCGCTGTTTCCAGCGTCACTTTAACTTTCAATATGGCCTGTGATTGTTACATTTTCCAATCCCACTTTCCGCATTATGTGGTCTAGATGTAGATGATGCCATTATATTTGTGTTGTCAACAACTACATGCAAAAAAGGCTAAGTAATAAAAAGCCTTATTAATAAAAACAAAAAATACAACACTCAATAATATCAACTATGAACATGGACAATATCTTGACCGTATCTGTCAATATTTCTGAGATGAGATATTATGTACATTATTTACATTATTCGGACTACTGTCCTCATCTTTGTCGCCATATTTATTACAACGTTTCGGCCGTTGTACGCTCCGGCCTAATTCAGGTGGTTAGAATGTCGAACTGAACCCTTTATTTCTCTCGCTAGGGTAGACTGTTCTAGTTCCAAGGCCATGTTTAATGAATGTCAGTTATCATTTAAATTCTGAAAGTTCTGAACTCACACTCTTTGGGTCCGGTTACTGGATCTAACTAACGCCTTTTCTTGAGGACATCTGTGTATGGATTTCTGGGTATTCTGAACCTAATATGTTCAGTTTTCATTTTTTCCCCGTGCTCATATTGCAATTTTTGCTGTTATCATTACACGTTTTTACCAGAGCTCATATTGCAATTTTTGTTATTATCGCTTTTCTCTGGCACTCCTTATTATTCCTATTACATATTGTATTAATTTCTATGCTTTGTCATCTCAGGAGATATTTGTGGCCTAGCATATGTGCTGATTCCTTAGATTTACGAATTTTCCAATGGGGTTCTTTGTCTATGATCTCAACCTGATCCCACAGAGGGCGGTGATCTCCCTTTTCTCCATATGTGGTCAGCCATTCCTGATTTTTCTACTTTCCCTCGTAGTACAGCTTTCTGGAGATCTTGAAGCCTTACCTTAAGTGAGCGGCCTGTCCCCCACCCTTTATATTTCTTTCCGCAGCTGCACGGGATAGCGTACACACAGGCTTATATTCTCCTCTATGAGGGGTTGGTCTTACACAGGAGAGATATCTGCGAAGTGTCGTCCAGCTTTTGAAGGTTGTCCTGATGTTATATGGACCGCAGATCCTTTGTATTTTCTCTGATAACCACTTCACATAAGGCAGACATGCTTGCTGAAGAACTAGAACAGTCTACCCCAGTGGGTTCTGTTCCAACCACCTGAAGATGGCCGGTGTGTACAACGGCCGACACGTTGTAATAAATATGGCGACAAATATTAGAACAATAGTCCGAATAATGTAAATAATGTAGATATTGAGCGTGTTTTGAAAATGAAAACATTATATAAATACATACATACATACATACAAACTATTTCTTGTTAACAGTTAATATATTTCGACCTTGAAATTGGCTAAATGTATAGCCGAAAGCGCACGAAAAAAAAAAGAACCAGATTTTATATAACTTATCATCCGAAAAGAAAACAAATTATTAGATCACGTGAGAAATAGATAAAAATCTATATCAAAGCACCTTATCTGTCGTATTCAATGAGATGTGCATGAAAGAAGGATTGCTGCCTAAATACATATAGATACATGCACACACACGCACACACACACACACACACACACACACACATATATATATATATATATATATATATATATATATATATATATATATAAAAATAAAAACAAATCTTTTACGTTCATAATCCCATTTTATTTTAATTGCGAAATATATTATGTTAAGAAATAATATGAATTTTAAAAACTATAATCCCAATATACATATATATATATATAATATTTAACTGCACCAGCATTGCGGTAAACAGATATTTTTTTTAAATTTCCAATTTAAATAATGGTCAGACCATGCTCCGCGCCTGAAGATTGCGTTTTGCATGAAACTCCGAGACGTACAAACAATGAAGCATAATATGTATATTTATTAATATATGTTTAATAGATTTGTTGTATTGTGCCGTTACCACAAAAGGTCTGCTACACAAAACGCTGAGATCAACTTGAAAAATTCTGATGTGTTACATAGAATTTTAAAATATATTTACGAGTAAATCAATGAGACTTGCATCTGGAAAATATGTTAAAATGAAAGATAAATATGATGATCAAACATAGCTAAATAAAACTGAATAAAAGTTTTTGTGAGAAAATTCAAATACATACGGCTAAAGAAGGTAATGAATAATTAGAATTAAAAATAAAATTCATAATTATATATTATTTAGGTGTTATGGAAATTGTAAATTTAATTAAAAATTTTATAAAGATGTTTGAGCCATGTCTATTTTACATTATTTTCTTCAAGCAATATTTATGTAGAAAAAGTGGTATGTTAAAAAATAATTAATTGTTTTGAAGTTTTATATTATAGCTTATAGATCATTTCTGATAAATAAATTTAAGCATTTTATCTTTGTTATAAACTAAAATTTCGTTGTATGTTTGGGTGGTTTTGTTGAACGGCATATCAACTTCTATAGGTTATTTAATACCGAAATCTAAATATTTTGTCCGCCATTTTACTTTTGTATTTATCTGTTTATTTGTTTTTGAGATAATAATGGTTTTAGGGATACCAATCTTACTAATTAACCCATTGCTGGGGGAGAAGAGGTGGTATCATAACTTTCCCAAGGTATTTTCGCGTAAGTGAATATAAGGAACTCAACTGGTATTGGAACTCGGCTCCCCGATTAATAATTCCGGGTCATTACAAATTAGACTACCGGCACATCCAAGCTTACAGCACCTGGTATTTCCAAGCGGTCACCCATCTAGATACCGTCCAGGTTCGATGTTGCTTAACTTCGGGAATCATACGGGTGTTTCAACGTGATGTGGCCGTAAGGCTATAAGCTAAAATATGATTTCTATTTTGCATATGGTAGAATAAATAATTTAATATAGGTTATGGTGCAGGTTAGGACCATGGAAGAACAACACGAACGCAAGAGTAGAAATAACGAAGGAATATTACACGAAATAATAATACAAGATGTGGAAGGTGTTAGTATGACTGTCAGTATGGTTTGGAGTGAACTACTATCGGCTCGACTCGATTCCGTAACTAGCCCCCCCCCACGAGGGTTGCATGTGGCACAAGGCCGAGTTTGACCGTCAAGACGAGAAGCTCGGCTTGATTCAGTATCTAGCCACCGCCCCCACGAGGGTTGCATGTGGCACAAGGTCGCGTTTAACGTGGGTTTCCCGAGCCCGTAGGCTTGGCCAAAAAAATGCTCGTAGAACCCCTATTAACGAGATCGGGTTGGTCAACCTCCCCGAACGAGACTCTGCCCTTCGGCGGAGCCTCTTCCGGGTTCCTCTCTGCTCAGAGGCAGAAAGTTCGACCGTCAAGCCGATCCCACGTTAAAAAGGCTCGGATTGAATCGGTGTCTAGCCACCCCCACAAGGATTGCATGTGGCACAAGGCCGAATTTAACGTGGGTTTCCCGAGCCCGTAGGCTCCGCCAAAAAATGCCCGTAGAAGTCGTATTAACGGGATCGGGTTGGTCAACCTCCCTGAACGAGACTCTGCCCTTCGGCGGAACCTCGTCTGGGTTCCTCTCTGCTCAGAGGCAGAGAGTTCGACCGTCAAGTCGAGAAGCTCGGCTTGATTCGTCCCTCTCTCTCGTGAGAGGCGTAGTATACATAGTGTTAGGAAGAGTTCATTCTGTAGTTATAGGTAAGGACCCATGACGATACATATGTTTTTTTTACAGTGCGGTTCACTCTTTACAAGGCCCGAAGGGGTAGTCGGTGTAGAAGGTTACGTTTGGAGGCCATTTGTGTGCAGACGAGTGGATGATGACGATTAACCCTAGCCTTGAACAGGTTATGATTATAGTGATCGGGGGAAAATCCTGTTGAGAGTCGGTTCTACAGAGCAGTGGTTCGGGAGAAGAACCTGTTCGAGTGGAACTTACTTCTCCCCGATGAAACTCGGAAGGAATGTGGATGGGTTGATACTGTGTAAGTGGCATAGCGTGTTCTTGTTG